TTATTACAGCATGTATTACTTTTGGTCACATTTCAATATTTCATGGCTATTCTTGAAATGTTTGAAGATTGTTCATTGTTGAGAGGTACAGTTGTTATAACCAAGCATAATACGGAGTAATTACTGCTCGTATGATTGAGCGATCGTATCACATAAAGTTCAGATTGAATTACTTAGTTATTTTTTTATTTTTATTTTTTGGAAATATGTCATAATAGATATTTCACATGGCATAAAAAAAAAATGCATAACTATATGGAGTACTGCGATAAATTGGCATTAGTTTCCCTATAATGATAAGGTGTTAGTCGATGTTACGCATAACAGCCAGATATATATGAAGTATATTTCAAGCCAGCAATGGTAATACCCTAAGATTCCCTTGTAACTTAAGAATTTCAATCCCAACCTCCCACTAAATTATTCTATGCTACTAATGTTACAGAGTACATCTTAAAAAATTGTGATCTTATTATGTAGTCTAGTTTCCCAAATAAAGTATGCATTTACCTTGAGAAATATTTAATTGGAATTTACTTTAGATATTTGCACTTTGCAGTGAATTAGCATTTCAATGTGAAAGTAAAATAATACCATAGCCCAAAAAGTGTGACAAAATGGTTCAATCCAAGAGAAAAAAGTTTATTAGCCAAATAGTCCACTATTAAACCAATTTTTTTGGGCTTCAAATTAGCATCCATACTAGTGTAATTAGTGCTTAGAAATACATGTAAAGACTATGATTACTTGGATATTCTGCATCTAATAATCTACATTATACACGAAAGTTAGAGAAGACTTCCTAGTTCTATCTCTAACCAGACTAACTTTCATGTATCTTTCCTTTTTATATAAGTGGGTGTACATACATGTGTTTACATATTATACATGTGTTTGACTACACTATAATTCATTTAGGATTTGTAATCTTAGCATTTTATGGTATGGCTGGTTTGCCACTTTCATTATCACCACATTACTGCCATGAATCCATGATAGGCCATCCGCTACCTTCGGCGTTATATTTTATCCGTTCTACAATAATTGACACATTTGACTTTTTTTTATCAACTTTAACCATCTTTTATTGCTATTATGATAGTGTTTGGCGAATATATAATAGATGTTAATTGAGCCTCTTGATCCTTACAACAACTTGAACATACAAGAAATCAGTGACATATTCCACACGTCGGAAGAGAGCGTGCCTCCATGTCCTGCTGTACAACAAACTTCCTACGACTCCCCAAAATCCAGTTGCAAAGCCGAGCATTACAAACGATGTAGAACATCACCTTTTCAAGGGTGCTTTCTACCTCTTCCTCTTCTTCATCTGGTTGATGTTGTCTTCCATGTTTGCCTCCGCATTTGTTTGGCAATGGATCTCCACGTAATCCTGCATTGTGTCCATAAATGGATGGATCATTGAGAGTTTGGAGCTGATTTCCCGTAGGTATCTCTCCATGAACACTACACGAAAAGAGCAAATTGACAACGGTTCAAACCCCCCCAAAGGCAACGGTTTTGAACCGTTGCGTATTTGAAGGTTGCCAAATTCCAAAATAATTGGCAACGGTTCAAAACCGTTGCCAACTCAAGCAATTGGCAACGATTAACCGTTGCCATTGAACATGGCGCCCTTTTTTTTGTTTTTAAAAATAATTGGCAACGGTTAACCGTTGCTAATTGCTTGAGTTGGCAACGGTTAACCGTTGCCAAATACAATGGCGCCCTTTTTTTAAAAAAATATTGGCAACGGTTAACCATTGCCATTGACCTGTTTTTTTGTTTTTTTTGCTGCAATATTATTAATATTATAATATTAATATTAATAATAATAATTAATATTATTATAATATTAATATTAATGATAATAATTATTAATATTATAATAGTAATAATAATAATTATTATTATGATAATAGTAACAATAATTAGTATTATTAATAATAAAATATAAATAATAATAACAATCGCAAGAGATGATATATATATATATATATATGAAAAATGTTTCATGTTACCTACAAACAATTTTAATTAGTTATAATAATGTATAGTACATAATTAGTAAGCCAAGGCTAGAATTGATGAAGTAGCTAGCTAGTAAACGATATTTACAAATTAAATGTGATGTAGGTCGCCAACATCTCTCGAATTACATGGAGTTCCTCGCTCGTGTATGGCTGTCCCGTTTGCCCCTTGCAAAACTTAGAATACACAAAACGTGAGTTAGTAGAAGTGAATTAATAATAATTGGGGTTAGTTAGTAGTAATGACCCGAACAAAACTTGGAATAATACACAAAACGTAAGTGAACTCATACTTAGCTTACTCATAATAATAACATGACATTATTACTTAGTTATATGTGACTAAGGAATAAAATTACAAGAAAATAGCAAGTAAGAGGTTTTGGGACGCAATTTCAACCAAAATGGCTCAAGTAAGGCCATTTTGGCTACTAGGATGCCTATTTTCTATATTTCTTGTCTATTGAACTCATAACTAGTTAAAACATGTCATAATCACTTAGTTATAGGTGCCTAATGCTTGAGATTACAAGAAAAGAGCAAAGTAAGAGGTTTTTGGGACGCAATTTCAACCAAAATGGCTCAAGTAAGGCCATTTTGGCTACTAGGATGCCTATTTTCTATATTTCTTGTCTATTGAACTCATAACTAGTTAAAAAAATGTCATAATCACTTAGTTATAGGTGTCTAATGCTTGAGATTACAAGAAAAGAGCAAGTAAGAGGTTTTGGGACGCAATTTCAACCAAAATGGCTCAAGTAAGGCCATTTTGGCTACTAGGATGCCTATTTTCTATATTTCTTGTCTATTGAACTCATAACTAGTTAAAATATGTCATAATCACTTATTTATAGGTGCCTAATACTTTAGATTACAAGAAAAGAGCAAGTAAGAGGTTTTGGGACGCACTTTCAACCAAAATGGCTCAAGTAAGGCCATTTTGGCTACTAGGATGCCTATTTTCTATATTTCTTGTCTATTGAACTCATAACTAGTTAAAACATGTCATAATCACTTAGTTATAGGTGCCTAATTATTGAGATTACAAGAAAAGAGCAAGTAAGAGGTTTTGGGACGCAATTTCAACCAAATGGCTCAAGTAAGGTCATTTTGGCTAGTAGGATGCCTTTTTTTCTATATTTCTTGTCTATTGATATTATAACTAGTTAAAACATGTAATAATCACTTAGTTATAGGTTCCTAATGCTTGAGATTACAAAAAAAAGAGCAAGTAAGAGGTTTAGGGACGCAATTTCAACCAAAATGGCATACCTCTTCAAGCTGACGTGTGTCTGTACAATGACTCATCACTATGTCATACATGAATCTCATCACGTATAGGCCACAGTCAACTCCGTTTTGCTGTTGTGCGCACTAGCATGAGGAACAAAGCACATGAATCAAAATGCATAGCAAATAAGCAACATCTTAAGCATTGTAAAGTAAGAAAATCACAACATCATGGGTGAATTACCTTGGGTGCTTTCCGTGTAGGACCTCGAGGAGATCGAGGATTTATCTTCTTCATGTTACTACAAAAAATCAAAGTAATAAGTTCAAATTTGATTCAAGTATAATCAATACATATGAGTTAAGATATGAAAATCAATAACAAGAATTGAAACAAACTAGATACTTACTTTTGTAGTATGGACCTCACGAGACGCTTTCTTACTTGAGGTAACTGAGCAGAATCAAAGTAGAAGATTGTGTTACTGGAAACACAAAATCACAAGTAGGGTCCAATGATAACTACACACGAGACAAACAAATCAATAGTTAGCCTATTACAACAAATAAAACTGGGAAAACAAATGAGCTTGACTAGGCATAATCAGGCGTACTTCTCATTATACGGGACGAATATAAACTTGTCTCCCGCACTCACTGATTGCCTGATACCCCGTTCACCATAGTACAACACGTCAGCGGAGTTGCCTAAGATTCTAGCAGTGGGCATCTGCTCAGGGCATAACCACCCAACTTGACAAGGAGATTCAAGCTCCCATATTTGCTCCTGGAGTGCTCTGCATGCATGATAACAAAATGTTAATCGAAAACCAAACGACAAACACCACTAAACTATATAACATAAATTGAAGTACCAGTTGAATTACCTCATGCATATTTGAATGAGGGAAATGTTAAGCATTGCACCACTTAGAAATTCCTTCACATCTTCTTTGAATAGCCATGCCATTGCATCATCATCGTAGTGGAACATTTCCTTAGGAAGTTGAATTTGGATGGGGCTGTAATTAGGCAACACGCAAACACGGTTGTGAAAATAAGCTAACTCCTGAGATAGCGATTGAAGCACCGTGTCTTCAACTAATGGAGTAGCTTGCGTAACTGAACCTCGTGAGCTTGCCTTCATCGACGCTTTTCCACTCACCGAGCCATGTTCACTCCTCTCCTTTGGCCCCTCCACCCTCTTCTTTGGAGTTTGGCTTTTCCTCGATGGCTAATAAGACAAATAACACAAATGGTTAGAAAAGATTTCCATCCAACTCTTGGGAAGAAAATCGGGTATAGATTAAAGCGTGAAATCTAAATCTTAATTACCTGGTTCATCAACCGTATCCAAGCAGATGGCCATTGCACAAAACTACCTTTTGCTGCCCAGAGTGTAGTGAACTTATCCTCCTCCACGGGCACAGGTATTAAGATGTCCTCGAACCCAAGAACCACAGAATGGATCCCAACAGAATAATGCTCAGGCAGAAGAGGTCGCAAATGGACCGTACCTTGTTCGGCCGGTTGTGCACTACCATAGGCAACAACATTCAAAGGTCCATCATATGATTCGCCCGGGTGAAGAAGTTCACAACGGGTCTCTTCCTGCACACATTAGGAAGATACTTCATTTAAATATTCATAACTAAGTTTCTTAGGTGTAATATAGGAGTTAATTCAAGCATTGAGCTAAAATCATTGAAAAAATGGGCAAGTTAGAAGTCATTTTGCCCATTTTGAACCGTAAATACTCTAAATGAACCTAAAACTTGTAAATTTGCTTTTTTTATATTGTTTCAAGCCATAAATATTCATAACTAAGTATCTTAGGTGTAATATAGGAGTTAATTCAAGCATTGAGCTAAAATCATGAAAAGTGGGCAAGTTAGAAGTCATTTTGCCCATTTTGAACCGTAAATACTCTAAATGAACCTAAAAACTTGTAAATTTGCTTTTTTAATATTGTTTCAAGCCATAAATGTTCATAACTAAGTATCTTAGGTGTAATATAGGAGTTAAATTCAAGCGTTGAGCTAAAATCATGAAAAATGGGCAAGTTAGAAGTCATTTTGCCCATTTTGAACCGTAAATACTCTAAATGAACCTAAAACTTGTAAATTTGCTTTTTTTATATTGTTTCAAGTCATAAATGTTCATAACCAAGTATCTTAGGTGTAATATAGGAGTTAATTCAAGCATTGAGCTAAAATCATGAAAAAAGGACAAGTTAGAAGTCATTTTGCCCATTTTGAACCGTAAATACTCTAAATGAACCTAAAACTTGTAAATTTGCTTTTTTTTATATTGTTTCAAGCCATAAATGTTCATAACTAAGTATCTTAGGTGTAATATAGGAGTTAATTCAAGCATTGAGCTAAAATCATGAAAAATGGGCAAGTTAGAAGTCATTTTGCCCATTTTGAACCGTAAATACTCTAAATGAACCTAAAACTTGTAAATTTGCTTTTTTTATATTTTTTCAAGCCATAAATATTCATAACTAATTATATTAGGTGTAATATAGGAGTTAATTCAAGCATTGAGCTAAAATCATGAAAAAAGGGCAAGTTAGAAGTCATTTTGCCCATTTTGAATCGTAAATACTCTAAATGAACCTAAAACTTGTAAATTTGCTTTTTTATATTGTTTCAAACATAAATATTTATAACTAAGTATCTTAGGTGTAATATAGGAGTTAAATTCAAGCGTTGAGCTAAAATCATGAAAAATGGGCAAGTTAGAAGTCATTTTGCCCATTTTGAACCATTAACACTTGAAATGAACCTAAAACTTGTAAAATTGCTTTTTTTATGTTGTTTCAAGACATAAATATTCATAACTAAGTATCTTAGGTGCAAAAAAAAAAAAAGAAAAAAAAAAACCAAAACGAGTGCAAACACAAAAAAAAAAAAAAAAAAAAAAAAAAAAAAAAAAACCGGGCGGAAAGGGCAGCAGCTGCACCGCTGCTGCAGTGCAGCTGCAGCCTCATTTTTGGCTTCCCAATGAGAAATAGAAGGAGAAGGAGAAGGAGAAGGAAGAGCAACAGCAACACAAATCCAGCAACAGATCTGTTGTCTGCTGATCTGCTGACTGCAGGCTGCTAATCTGCTGCCCTGCTGATCTGCTGACTACAGGCTGCTGATCGAGGCTGCTCTGCTGATCTGCTGACTGCAGGCTGCTGATCTGCTGGTCTGCTGATCTTCTGACTACAGGCTGCTGATCTGCTGACTGCGCAGGCTGCTGATCTTGCTGCCTTGTTGCTTGCTGTTACTGAATGTTGAAGCTGTTGCTGGTTTCTGTTGTTGGATCTGCTGACTGTTGTTGCTGGCAGCAACACCAAAACCAACAACACAATAGCACACCAACCCACACAACATCATAGGCTCAACTATTTGGGGGTGCGACATTTTGACGTCTACAGTTAGCCCTCACTTTGACCAAGATCGAGGAGATTAAGGTCAAAGTATCACAGATCGGGAAAATGTGAGCATGGGTTTTTCGTGATTTGCTAATAGGAGTGTAGCAATCCCGAGGAGAACTTTGCAAATTGATTGAAACGAACAACAACATTATCTTAGAAACAGCAATTATAAAAGAATAACAACAACATCACCATCAACACCACCAACAACGACAACACAAACACAACACAATCCAAAAAAGTAAGTAAAAAATCACTTGTAGAATAGGAAAGTCATGAGGTGTCGGAGTATCAAGCCCCCTTGAGTACGCATGTGAAGGAGTACCAATCTGTAATAGTGTATTGATAGTGAAACATTAATTAGAAACGTACCCATGTGACTCAACATATCAAAACTTATAGAGTTGAATTCTAATCATGTACCTCCTCGCGTGCATTTATCTCCTGTTCTCCTTCTCTTCGTGGGTGGCTACTTGAGTCGACCAGTGTTGTCGAGGAAAAGGGCATGGTCGGCAAATTCATTTGCTTCGCCCATGCATTGAACTCTTCGCGCATCTCATTGCGCACTTGTTCTTTAATTGATGCCACCGTGGCATCGAAGTTCTGTGGCGAGTTCACACTTTCTCGGGATCTTCCAGATTTGATATATTCGGGACCCATTACCTTCTCCCATCCTAGCAAGCTCCCCCCAACACCTAATACCCGTCCCGGATGGTAGGGCTTTCCCATAGCCAAGGTGAAGGGGTCCTTCTCTACCGTCGGGACGAGCTTTCCTTCAACAAGCTCTCCAGTGTACTCAAGCTTTAGCAAAAACAAAATGGCAACATGAAGTAAGTGTTTATATAAAGTGATATACATGCAAATGAATAATGTAGTTCACTGGGTCATAGTTGCTTACTAGCTTATCTGTCATTTCTTTGGTTTCCGGAGCCTTGATGGACCATTTTCCGGTTTTCTTGTCCCGCGAATGCATAGAGCAAAAGAAATCCCCAGCACGACTCACCAAAGTACTGGTCGTGGAGTCAGATGGCGCTGTGGAGGACCCTAGAAGAGCAGAGGGGTATACTCCTTCACTCACCCATGTATCCCTCCATTCATCATACGTCATTGCTCTCATATGATGGTGGTATTGCTTTTGCAATGCATTCTTGGAATTCTGCTCCCTCATTTCCTACATAAAAAGATATGTTAGTTTCATTACTAATAAAAAAGACGATAAATTACAACACAATTTTCATCAGAGTTCTTTAAACTTACAATTTCTTCTTTTTTACATTTTTGAAGAACGAAAGCTTCCCAATCATCCTTCGATATGCTAGGCCATATTTGCCATGGGAGTTTCTCTTCATCGATGACATCATCATCACTGGCATCTCCTTTCTTGTTCTTTGGTTTCCTCACAAGTTTCTTTGTGATAAACCGACGAACTAAGTAACACTTGAAGCTTCTGAATCTTGCCGCAAGTAAGGATTCAAACACCCTTCGCTTGGCGTACTCATTTGGAATGTTAAATAGACTCTGCAAGCACAAATAACAAACATTATTAGTTTGCCCATAACATAACAATAAATTGAAATTGTTTATAAATAATGTGGAATAAAAAAAACTTACTCTGGTATCATTCCAAAACGTGTCAATCAAGCCTGTAGGTACGTCGCTCATACGAAGCGTAATGGGGATTTTGCGCGCACAAATCCCAACTTGACCAGCATACTGACGTTGCCATTTACCTGAGGGTTGGCCTACCCTGTCATACTCCAAGACCATAGGACCGACAGGTTTCTTGAAAACTGTCGTCGGACCCCTCATCTTTTTCTTCGCTGGTGCCTGCACCCCCCCTCCACTTTGATCCTCCCGAAACGACTCCATAATGGCATTATCGATTGGAGGCGCTTGCTCAGCCGCAATTTCAAACTCATCTATCATTCTCTCCAATACATCTTGCGCCTGATCTTCTGGCTCACCTATAACAGGTTCCTTGTTCACATCATACAGCTGGTCCCCATCATTAGATGAACCGTAAATACTCTAAATGAACCTAAAACTTGTAAATTTGCTTTTTTTATATTTTTTCAAGCCATAAATATTCATAACTAATTATATTAGGTGTAATATAGGAGTTAATTCAAGCATTGAGCTAAAATCATGAAAAAAGGGCAAGTTAGAAGTCATTTTGCCCATTTTGAATCGTAAATACTCTAAATGAACCTAAAACTTGTAAATTTGCTTTTTTATATTGTTTCAAACATAAGTATTTATAACTAAGTATCTTAGGTGTAATATAGGAGTTAAATTCAAGCGTTGAGCTAAAATCATGAAAAATGGGCAAGTTAGAAGTCATTTTGCCCATTTTGAACCATTAACACTTGAAATGAACCTAAAACTTGTAAAATTGCTTTTTTTATGTTGTTTCAAGACATAAATATTCATAACTAAGTATCTTAGGTGCAAAAAAAAAAACGAAAAAAAAACCAAAACGAGTGCAAACACAAAAAAAAAAAAAAAAAAAAAAAAAAAAAAAAAACCGGGCGGAAAGGGCAGCAGCTGCACCGCTGCTGCAGTGCAGCTGCAGCCTCATTTTTGGCTTCCCAATGAGAAATAGAAGGAGAAGGAGAAGGAGAAGGAAGAGCAACAGCAACACAAATCCAGCAACAGATCTGTTGTCTGCTGATCTGCTGACTGCAGGCTGCTAATCTGCTGCCCTGCTGATCTGCTGACTACAGGCTGCTGATCGAGGCTGCTCTGCTGATCTGCTGACTGCAGGCTGCTGATCTGCTGGTCTGCTGATCTGCTGACTACAGGCTGCTGATCTGCTGACTGCGCAGGCTGCTGATCTTGCTGCCTTGTTGCTTGCTGTTACTGAATGTTGAAGCTGTTGCTGGTTTCTGTTGTTGGATCTGCTGACTGTTGTTGCTGGCAGCAACACCAAAACCAACAACACAATAGCACACCAACCCACACAACATCATAGGCTCAACTATTTGGGGGTGCGACATTTTGACGTCTACAGTTAGCCCTCACTTTGACCAAGATCGAGGAGATTAAAGGTCAAAGTATCACAGATCGGGAAAATGTGAGCATGGGTTTTTCGTGATTTGCTAATAGGAGTGTAGCAATCCCGAGGAGAACTTTGCAAATTGATTGAAACGAACAACAACATTATCTTAGAAACAGCAATTATAAAAGAATAACAACAACATCACCATCAACACCACCAACAACGACAACACAAACACAACACAATCCAAAAAAGTAAGTAAAAAATCACTTGTAGAATAGGAAAGTCATGAGGTGTCGGAGTATCAAGCCCCCTTGAGTACGCATGTGAAGGAGTACCAATCTGTAATAGTGTATTGATAGTGAAACATTAATTAGAAACGTACCCATGTGACTCAACATATCAAAACTTATAGAGTTGAATTCTAATCATGTACCTCCTCGCGTGCATTTATCTCCTGTTCTCCTTCTCTTCGTGGGTGGCTACTTGAGTCGACCAGTGTTGTCGAGGAAAAGGGCATGGTCGGCAAATTCATTTGCTTCGCCCATGCATTGAACTCTTCGCGCATCTCATTGCGCACTTGTTCTTTAATTGATGCCACCGTGGCATCGAAGTTCTGTGGCGAGTTCACACTTTCTCGGGATCTTCCAGATTTGATATATTCGGGACCCATTACCTTCTCCCATCCTAGCAAGCTCCCCCCCAACACCTAATACCCGTCCCGGATGGTAGGGCTTTCCCATAGCCAAGGTGAAGGGGTCCTTCTCTACCGTCGGGACGAGCTTTCCTTCAACAAGCTCTCCAGTGTACTCAAGCTTTAGCAAAAACAAAATGGCAACATGAAGTAAGTGTTTATATAAAGTGATATACATGCAAATGAATAATGTAGTTCACTGGGTCATAGTTGCTTACTAGCTTATCTGTCATTTCTTTGGTTTCCGGAGCCTTGATGGACCATTTTCCGGTTTTCTTGTCCCGCGAATGCATAGAGCAAAAGAAATCCCCAGCACGACTCACCAAAGTACTGGTCGTGGAGTCAGATGGCGCTGTGGAGGACCCTAGAAGAGCAGAGGGGTATACTCCTTCACTCACCCATGTATCCCTCCATTCATCATACGTCATTGCTCTCATATGATGGTGGTATTGCTTTTGCAATGCATTCTTGGAATTCTGCTCCCTCATTTCCTACATAAAAAGATATGTTAGTTTCATTACTAATAAAAAAGACGATAAATTACAACACAATTTTCATCAGAGTTCTTTAAACTTACAATTTCTTCTTTTTTACATTTTTGAAGAACGAAAGCTTCCCAATCATCCTTCGATATGCTAGGCCATATTTGCCATGGGAGTTTCTCTTCATCGATGACATCATCATCACTGGCATCTCCTTTCTTGTTCTTTGGTTTCCTCACAAGTTTCTTTGTGATAAACCGACGAACTAAGTAACACTTGAAGCTTCTGAATCTTGCCGCAAGTAAGGATTCAAACACCCTTCGCTTGGCGTACTCATTTGGAATGTTAAATAGACTCTGCAAGCACAAATAACAAACATTATTAGTTTGCCCATAACATAACAATAAATTGAAATTGTTTATAAATAATGTGGAATAAAAAAAACTTACTCTGGTATCATTCCAAAACGTGTCAATCAAGCCTGTAGGTACGTCGCTCATACGAAGCGTAATGGGGATTTTGCGCGCACAAATCCCAACTTGACCAGCATACTGACGTTGCCATTTACCTGAGGGTTGGCCTACCCTGTCATACTCCAAGACCATAGGACCGACAGGTTTCTTGAAAACTGTCGTCGGACCCCTCATCTTTTTCTTCGCTGGTGCCTGCACCCCCCCTCCACTTTGATCCTCCCGAAACGACTCCATAATGGCATTATCGATTGGAGGCGCTTGCTCAGCCGCAATTTCAAACTCATCTATCATTCTCTCCAATACATCTTGCGCCTGATCTTCTGGCTCACCTATAACAGGTTCCTTGTTCACATCATACAGCTGGTCCCCATCATTAGATGAATCATCATCATTAGATTCAACATCCTCTACTCGAACACGGTATTGATCGTCCGCCATTAGATGTTAAAACTTGTCATTACAAACATAACACGTTATTAGCTGCTGAATTGTAAGGTAAACTTATAATCTTATATAAATTGCTGAATTATAATACAAATAAACATAGAAAATGGTGAAGCAAGTTACTTTATTCATTATAAAGAATATAAGAAAAATGGGCAAGAAATTCAACAATTTCATTCATTTTCACCTAAAATGTGATTTTTTAATTCTTTCTACGCCTGTAATTCAAACTAACAGAAAATATACAGTACCTCAATCTAATATTCCTTCATCGTGGTCTGATCTCATGTAATTGGCTTGGTCGTCTATCTCATTTGGCACAGCAGGTCTAGGAACAGTGAAATGTGCCGAGTCATCAAAGGCATCATATTCTTCCTCATCCTCGACATCTCCAACGCCAAGGATTCTTCTTTTGCCGGCTAGCACAATAGACCATTTTGAGTCGGCAGGGTCAGATACGTAAAACACCTGCTTAGCTTGAGATGCAAGGATGAATGGTTCCGCACTATCATTCAGGTTGCCAAGATCTACAAGAGTAAAGTCATCAAATTTGACGTTACGCCTGATATTATCAACCCACTTACACCGGAAAAGAGCAATCGTGAAGTCACAATAATCAAGCTCCCATATTTCTTGAATTCGACCGTAGTATGACAACTCTGCATCAACGGGTGATTTATCCTTAGCACTTGCAAACTCCCTTGACGATGCCACAACCGTTACACCACTGTTTTGGGTCGAGGATGATTTTAAATCTTGACGCTCAGTCCAAAATGTGTACCCATTTATGTCATATCCCTCAAATGAGCGAACATCATCCCTAGGACCATAAGCAAGCCACCTTACTGTAGGTGTAACACCCTCATCCATTCCACCCATCACTCGATCACGAAACCAACTCACAAACTTCTTATTGTGTAAGTGCATCAGTGCTCTCTCACCTTTCGACGGAAACTCATCACGCAAACTAGCCATGTGCTCGTCTAAATATGGGTGAACATCTGCAACATGGTGCAACACATATAGGTGTGCTTGTAAGAACTTCTCTCGATCAGGTGACATTCGTTTTGATCCGATTGTGCCATGACCATCAAGTCTCCCTTCATGTCGAGAAGTAGGAATTCCAATAGGTTCAGCAACGGCTATATAGTCGGCCACAAAATTACCAATCTCCTCGGCCACGGTCCCTTGAATCATACTTCCTTCCGAGTGAGCCCGATTCCTAACTTTATCTTGCAATGTACCCATGTGTCTTTTAAAAGGATAGCACCACCTCATGAACACTGGACCGCACAACTTAATCTCACGCACCAAATGAAGAATCAAATGCACCATTATGTCGAGAAACGAGGGTGGGAAGTACATCTCAAATTTTCACAAAGTCACAATCACATCCGCCTGTAAAGCATCAAGTGTACAAGGATCAAGCACTTTGCTACATATTGTATTGAAAAACGAACAGAGGCTTGTAATAGCTTCCCTCACGTGCTTTGGTAAAATACCACGTATTGCAATTGGTAGAAAAACTTGCATCAGAACATGATAATCATGGGATTTCATACTTGTCAGCTTCAATTCTCCATTTAAGGATACAAATCTTTTCATGTTAGATGCGTACCCTGATGGAACCTTAATTCCATACAGACATGCACAAAACATCCGTTTTTCTACCCTTGACAATGTGTAGCAAGCCGGAGGTAAGTAGGCCTTCCCCTCCTTGGCTTTTCCCTCATTTTTCTTCTTCGACGCATCCGCAGCCTTTCCCTTTCCCTTGCTCTTCTCCTTTCCCTTTTTCGAACCCATTTCTTTTTCCTTTTCATGTTCCTTTCCCTTACTAAACCTTTGCTGAACCCACAATTCTTGACGCACCCCCATCTTTTCCAAATCTAAATGTGCACCCTTTCCGTCCTTTGTCTTGTTTTGAATATTCATCAGCGTTCCCACAAGAGCGTCACACACATTCTTCTCTATATGCATTACATCAAGACAGTGCCTAACGTCATGTTCTTTCCAGTACGGGAGCAACCAAAAGATTGATTCTTTTTTAAAGAGAGCAACTGATTCCGCCGCTTTTTCAGATTTCCCAAATAATGTTCGTACACCCTTAACCCGAGCGTAAACCTCCTCATCAATTAGTGGCCTAGGAGCAGTCCCCTCTTCCACTGTCCCATCGAAAGCCTTTTTCTGCCGACGGTACGGGTGATCGCGCCTGAGCAACCTTCTTGTCCTCAAAATACACCTCTTTGAGAGAATGATCAAGGCGTCTGCTTGGCGTATCATTAATACAAATGGGACATGCCTTTTTCCCTTTATTCTTATACCCAGACAAGTTGCCATATGCAGGAAAATCATTAACGGTCCACATAAGAGCTGCACGCAATGTGAACATCTTATTCTTATGAGCATCAAACACGGAAACCCCTTCGTCCCACATCTTTCTCAAATCATCAACCAGTGGCCCAAGATACACATCTATGTCGTTTCCAGGTTGCCTTGGCCCTGATATCAAAAGTGAAAGCATTACATATTTCCGTTTCATGCACAACCAAGGAGGCAAATTGTAGATCACTAAAAGTACCGGCCATGTGTTGTGCTGGGTACTAAGAGTGCCAAATGGATTCATCCCGTCCGTGCACAAACCAAGCCTTAAATTTCTGACTTCGTCACCAAATTCCCCAAACTTCATATCAAGGTTCTTCCATTGCGGGGAGTCGGCTGGATTCTTCAGCATTCTGTTTTTCTTTCTTCCCTCTGCATGCCACCTCAAGTTTTTAGCGTCTTTTGGTAAAGAGAACAGACTCTTAAACCTTGGAATTATGGGAAGATACCATAACACCTTAGCAGGAGGTCCCTTCGTACAAGCATTGCAACTCTTGCGCTTGTAGCGCGACTTCTTGCATCGTGGACACTCCTCCAATTGTTCATATTCATTTCGGTAAAGAATACAATCATTAGGACATGCATGTATCTTCTTATACTCCAAACCAAATGGACACATGAGCTTCTTAGCGTAATAGTAAGACTTTGGAATTTCATTCCCATCGGGCAACATCTCACTTAACACGCTCAACAAGGAAGTAAAACTATTGTCCGTCCACCCATGCTTCGACTTAATGTTAAAAAGCGTTAGCACGGCACTTAGTTTGGAGTATTTTTGGCACCCAGGATACAAAGGCTTTTTAGAAGCCTCCAATAATGACTCAAACACGTCACCTTCAAAACCACGCATCATCTCATCCACACCTTCATCCTCAACCTCATCCACATGATCATCCTCAAATCCCTCCTCAGCACCATCATCAACAATATGTTCATCATTCTTGTATTCCTCGTCCACACGGATATCATTGCTTTTATCATCATGCACATCATACCCAATAACATCCCCACTGTACTCTCCTTATTCACCATGCCAAATCCACACATGATATTTAACCCTAAACCCACGACAAACTACATGATCTCTAATGATATCAACACTATTGACCACCTTCACATTATTACAATCAACACAAGGACAATAGAGGCACTCGAAACCCATTCTGCGCTGATAAGATGAAATCGTCTCGCAAAACTCTTGAACCCCATTAAAGAATTCCAATGTATCACGTCTACCATACATCCATCCACGATCCTTCTCCATTAAGTAAATTGTCTCTAAACATGGCAACATATTATAAATAATGTATAATTGCTACATCTATTATATATATTAATCAAATTCAAACACACAACATGCATATAACATTCATATAGATACAAAAATGCATATATGCTTCCAAAGGGTCCTTATCACTCCAACCTAACTCATCCTTGAACGTTTACTCTCACTAGTGAATGTATGTCAGATTTCCAATTTTAAGGAAAATCCGGCAGCATTTCCCCCCAGTTCTCCAAGTACACGACGTAGGTAATTACTTACCCACATATGTACCCAGAGAACATGGTGATCGAGGAAATGGTAAGCCAAGATGTTCCTTAAAATCGAAAAAAAAGGACATACATCTACCACCTAAGTGAGAGTAAACGTTCAAGAACAGTCCCAACCGGGGACTATTCAAGACTTTCTCCTAATGAGAAAGCCTTGAACGGGTATCTAGGCATATGATGATACATGCAATCAATTAAAAAAACAATGGATTAATCACACATCATGATAGAAGATGCACTAAAGTTATATCACACACCATCTCCACAAAAATGTGCAACCAAGAACTTATTTAAAGCACATAAAGTTATATATATATACCTGAGTACCTATAAAGGCTCAACACTCTCAAATAGAAGGTCAATGCCAAGGTCTATGCTTCGCCCAAAAATTCCTGATAATCTTTTTTATTGTAACCTATATAGAACACAAATAGAAAACCAGATAAAGGGAAAAGATAAGAATGATATTAGTGAGCAAGAACAAGGACAGACAGAGTAAGATACCAGGATGTTTTCCGCCCACTCTCCAAACTGATGATCTTACCCTAGAAGCCCTTGAAACCAATTTCTTAGCCTGAAACACGCATATATATAGTGAGAAGCAACTCATGAAGAAAAGTATATTCAAACCCTAAACCCTAAACCCTAAACTCTCAACTTTGTTCTCTTAAATAAAAAGGACTATTTTATCCTATAAACAAAATAAAATTCTCAACTTTATTAGTGATGATAAATAAAGTTCTCATAACAATTTAGAAATATAGGTAAATGTAGCTTGTACTAAATACAATTCTCAGCTTATAAACATCAACAATAACAACTAAAAAAGGCCTTACATTTGTGGAGGGGGAGCCTTATGCGTTCAATGGAGGTGGAGCTGAGCCTTGCGCGTATAAATGGAGGAGTTAAGTAGCAATTATTGACAAACCCTAGCAATTACAAGAAACTTGTCAATATTAATAAAGACCAATTCCTCAAAAACCATAACAATGGAGGAGCGCTATTACGACTTACCTAGCTAGGTCTAAGCTGCTACATACTTCAATAATGCAAGCATATATGGAGGGAGGCAGAAGAGAAGAGCTAAGTGCGCGTGAGGAGAAGAACAAACCCAGACCCACTACGTGCGTGAGGAGGCAAAAGCTTCAATGGACCCTTCAATGGAAGCTTCAATGGAGGAATGGTTAGGGGAGAGCTGAGGGAAGGCGCGCGTTTTTGGAGGTGAAAGCAAAAACAGAGAGTTCAAGCAATGAGGGAGTATACAGTAGTATACAAAAACCCGGGGGTTTTTTTTTTAAATTGGCAACGGTTAACCGTTGCCAACTCTACCCCCTTTTTTAAAAAAAAAAATAAATTAATCAATTGGCAACGGTTAACCGTTGCCATAGGGGGATATTAAAAATGGCGCTCACTTAAGTTGGCAACGGTTTTCATGAACCGTTGCCATAGGGGGGTTGCCTATTTCTTTTTTTCTACTAGTGGAAGCATATTGCTCGATAAGTTGAAGCTGGTTAAAAAATTTAAGGCTGATAAGCTAGATGGGATTGCTCCAGAGAGATTATTTATAGACAAGTCAAGTGATTCAAGTGATCCCATTTCACCAATGTTGAGAGGAATAATGAGGGAGCCCCAGTTTCTCATTATGAGAAACACTTTTGTTTCTCATAATGGCATTTTGGAAAATAATATGATGTTTTTCACTGGTGGGGACCGCATATGTGTCATGAGTGGGAGCCCCAAATCTTGACACATACCCCATGAGAAACAAAACTTGTTTCTCACGATGAGAAACAGAGAATTACCCAGGAATAATTCCTGTCAAATGATTGTTGGACAAGTTTAAACCAACGAGTTTAGATAGATTTGTAAGCTCCTCGGGTATTGACCCCACTAAGCCATTGCTTGAGAGATCTAGGTTCACTACAAGCTTCAACGTCGTGGTGTATTGTCGTTCTACCCCTTTCAAGACCACCATAGCATTTTCTCCTTTGAAACTCTCTAGTGGCTCTGATGGTGCTGTTGCTGGTGCTAGAGCCATTTCGTAAGTAGAAGGTGCTTTGAGTTGCAGTGACTTCTTCATACTCTTAAAATGGCCAAAACAACTAGGGATGCTTCCTGTCAAATTGTTCATTGCAAGGTCAAGAAATTGCAGGCGAGGGAGTGAACACAATTGTGATGGAATAACACCTTCAAGTTGATTCGCTCGCATGATGACAATTTCCAAAAAAGGATGACTATCTGCATCCCAATGTGGAACCTCCCCAGATAGTTTGTTTTCACCTATATCCAAAATCACCAACCCCAAAAGTTCATTTAGTGTTGGAGGTAGAGTGCCTTCTAATGAGTTGTTGTTCAGTTTAAGATATGCCATTTCCGGAAGTAGCCCAATAGTCATGGGGATACTTCCAGAGAGTTTGTTAGAGGACATGTCAATAACACTCAAGCCTTCTGAGGTGCCCCAACAATCAGGGATTGTACCAGAAAGTTGGTTTCGTTGAAGATGTAGGAGTTGTAAATTCTCTAAATGGCACAATGGAGCTTTGACTACTCCAATCTTAGAGGATGAATCATTAAACATAGGCCCTGAAAGAAAGTTATATGAGAGGTCTATGTATCTTAGTTGTGAAGATGGAAAAAAATGTGGGATCGGTCCCATAATGTGATTATTGGAGAGATTTATCTCTCGCAAATTAACATTTGGAATCCAATCAATTATTTCTACAAATAGCCTATTATTGGAAAGGTCTAACACCCTGAGCTCATTTTGCAAGGACGAAAAGGACCCTAGAGAAGTGGGAATGAATCCATCTAAAAAATTATTGCTTAAATCTAATATTTGTAAGGATGACAATGACCCTAGAGAAGTAGGAATGGATCCCTCTAAAAAATTATTGCTTAAATCTAAGGATTCCAAGGATGATAATCCTCCAAGAGAGGTAGGAATGGTTCCCCGTAAATTACAACTATTTAGATTTAACTCAATCAGTGATGACATGTTTCCAATAGCTGGAGGAATTAGACCATAAAATGTATTACCATTTGAAAGTTCAATGAACTTCAAATTTCTCAACTCTCCTAACCATTTTGGTAAGGTATTTGTGATATTATTGAAGGTCAAATCCAAATGCTCAAGATCATATTCAACGCAATTAGCGAAATTATCATGATTAAGGCCTAAGAAATTACCTCCTACGATAGAACTTCGCAAGTTGAGTGTTTTAAGATGGCATAGATTCCCCAAGATGCCCATGATTGTCCCTCCCTCAACATGACTAAATCTATTCCCGCTAAGGTCAAGATATTCAAGGTCTTTCATGTTACCAAGCCAAAGTGGGATGGAGCCATTCAACTGGCTATAGGAGAGGTCAAGGAATTTAAGGGAGGTCATATTGGACAAAATATGAGGGATTGAGCCTTCCAGGTTGTTCCCTGAAACATCAAGATGTTGTATTCTAGATGCCATAGTTGAATTGGAGAAAATACTTGACAAAAGTTGATTATCAATTCCCATCAACGATAGCCGCAAGTATAACAGAGGAAGGTGGCCAAGTACTTGCGGTATTGTATTTAGAGCTTTCGTGGTGATATTGGTATCGCACATGCCCAAACACCGCAAATTCACAAGAGAAGATAACCAGTGGAGATTGGTCGAGTAAGAATTAAAATTATCAGAAAGATCTAGAGCTCGTAATCTAGTGAGGTTGCCAAGCTGTGGAGGGCCACCACCGCCAAACCCTCCGCTAGAGAGGTTGAGATACCTCAAATGTTTCATTGACCCTATCCACTGTGGGATATTACTAACATCGAAATCATTCCCGCTCAAATCTAAGTACCTCAGTTGCCTCAGTTCAAGCAAGCTAGGATTCAACTCAGAGAAACCTAGACTACAAGTGGAACTACGGTAAACATAATAGGAATATAATAGATACTCTGGTGTATCATACGCACTTTCATCGTCACAACGTAGATCAAGACGAAGCACGCGACGGGTAGCATTGTGGCAGGTGACACCATGCCAGCTACAACAATCATCCCCCTTCCATGAAAAGAGAACGTTGTCCTCGTCATACAAGACACTCGCCTTGAACGTCAAGAGAGCCTCTCGTTCCGGCTTAAGGCAGCCTTATGGTGAAGCCAGTTTGCCCCATCTGTGTATTGATTAGTGGCAAAAGGATTATCAAAACTATAATCATTTCTAGACCAACTTCACCCATTGTAATTTTACTCAATTTAAGGTAAAACAAAGGAGATCAGGAGTTGTGTTTACTTGTGTTTATGGTATATGAAAAGCTGCCTTAAGAGACTGCTGTATGTAATAAGTGCATTAGACCTCTATTATTTCCACCCCAAAAATCACGCAAAGACTGTTAAATTAGTACGCTTCATGTAATTACTAGTAGAAAGACAACGACAAGGAGGGAAAAAGTAAAGTGAGAGATATTATCTTTCTTAATTGCTGTAAAATGATACGCACAAATTGAATGAAGTCTTCCATCTTAATTGATAGCGCACAGACAAATTAAACATATGGAGCCATGGAATTAATACATGACATAAAGACTTTTACTTTTGTGACCAAGTCAAGACATTCATGAATACTAGAATATATCATCATCATATGTATACATTAGTTCATGTGAATAACTACTCCCTCCATCTCAAAATAACTGAGACGTTGACTTTTTTCACTATTCATGTATTAGCTTTGATAATATTTTTTACAAATATAATAAAAATATTTATTATAAAATATGTTGTTATATATATAGGTATTAATATAAAGTTTTATAGTATAATTTTTTAAAAAAAATTATTAATATTTAATTATATAAAAATAAAGTCAAACGAGTGTATCGACATATGTGCAAAGTTGACTACGTCAGTAATTCTGTTACAGAGGGAGTATATGGTTACAATGCAAGCAGCCAAGTGTTCCAACTTCAATTCCAAGTTTTCAACCCTCTAATTTGTTAAGCTTAATTAGTTTGTATATTTGATCGATTTTCTTTGAAAGGTTAATGAATTTAATATTGAGTTATCGCATTTTTTTAGGAGGCCTTAATTAAGTATGTACGTGTCTTACAAGACATGCATGTAGCAACACTAATTATAGAAGCAATAATATTATTCAATTAAGCTCAACTAAAAATATTGATTTAAGTCATGTAGTCTTAAACTTCATCAATGGCTCCATCCATAACGATGTGGAGGAATTCCATGTCAATAATTACGCTTGTTATAAATGACAATAACAAGTGTCTGTTGACACATCTATACATGTTGAATATTTAGACCTTATATTAGTATAATAATTTTACAAAAATTTAATATTATGAAATGACATATTGAGACAATATAACATGTATTACACGACTATGTGTCTTAAATTTCTTAGACTTAACAATACCTACCTAAAAACACACAATGACACAAAGGTTAGGTCTAGGAATTATAGCTAGTCAATCTCACACAGTCACAATGTCAAGGAAGATTCAGTCTCACTCGACTTTGGTGCTAATATAAATGAGTCAACCGCTGGCGGAGCTAAGTGGGGACAAGGGGGGACAACTATTTCCCCACTTTTTAAGAAAAATAGATACTTATATACTAAGGGATCGTTTGTTGGTTCATTAAGCTGGAATGGATTGGTAAATTCTCATACTTGGGTGGTATGGATTCTATATCTCATACCAATCTAAAGTTGTTTGGTTTAATCATGGAATGGATTCTCATACTTGATTAATATATAGTATGAATTATGAATCCTTAGGGGGTGGGTATGAGATTCCAAGGGAATGAGGTAGAGTTAGAATCCCCCGGGTATGAGATTCTATACTTAAATTAAATAGCCCAACCAAACAAATAAATCATGGAATGGATTCTATCTATTCCAAGAAGTTCAACCAAACAGCCCCTAAATGTGTGTAGTATAATCATAAAGAAAAAGAGATGGTCTAGTGCGTGGTTAAAATGTTTATAAATACTCTTTAATGTCATAAATGCACCAATAAGAGTTGGTTCAAGTGGTAAGCAGTTTGATGTCGCTTAAGGAAGGTCTCGAGTTCGAGCCTCAGATCAAAGATCACCGAATGCAATAAAGTCTTGTTGGAAGACTCATCCACCATAAACCAGCTGTGCAACTTGAGCTGGATCCGGATGTAGTTGGAGCTAAGCTTTATTAATTGGTGAACCGGGTAGGGCAAACTAAAAAAAAAAAAGGTCATGGGTCAATCCCTTTTAGTAGCATATTTTTTTCCTTTTTTTCTATTTCAAAGTTCTCTACTTTCCTTACACATTATCCTACTTCATAATGAAATTTTTTTATGCTATTCATTTATTAAAAAAATATATATATTATTCCTTCACTATGTAATTTTATTTCTCTTATATAACATCCAAAATTGTTCCTTTCCCAACCCCTATTGATTCAACTAAAAATAGTACTATTTAATGAAATTGATCATGTTCTAACTTCTAAATTACCTTAGCAATTTACATAATTTTTTTTTTAAATAATTGCTCAAATTGTAACCCCAAATTATTGGTTGTAAAAGAAATTTTGAGCAAAAAATTTGATCTTATTAATATATCTAAATATAAATTAAATTGTGTAAGGATTTTTTTGTCAATTTATAGAACGACTTACTTAATCCGTCCCCAGCATGAAAATCCAGATTCCAACCAGTCAGCTTCTGTCCATTAACAAGTCAACGTAATATCTTTACAGGTGGAAACTTGGAATATTTTTCAACAGGCCTGCATTGAGCTGATATTTACAAGTGTATAAAAAATCTTTGCTTGTTATTCTGCGAGTGCATTAGGAACTAACACAGGTTTGTACAAGTTAGTATGCTACATTGCCACAGCCTATATATATGCGGTCTAGTTGGATTAATTTCACTTTATACTTTCACAAAATCTATCAGTTATTCATATCGATTCAAAATCTCTAACATTGAAATTGTGCTTTGAGATATTTCTCCTTTCCCATAAAAATATGTGTGCAGCAGACGATGTATTCATATTATATAGAATTAGTTAAAGATAAATTGTCGAGAGGACTCTTATAGAGAATTGAGAGAAGCATTCTTAAGTGTACAACATTTTTGTGTTTTAGGGCCCGTTTGATTGGGGTTAATAATCAAAGGGAAAGGGAATGAACATGTCTCATTCCCTTTATTGTTGTTTGTTTGTCAATTTTTTCATATCTTTTACCCATTTTTATTTTTGAGTTTACCCAAAATCAGTCTACATTGATTCCCCACCCCCCATCCTAAACTTTTCCATTCCCTTTCCTAAGCCACCACTACACCACCATACCCACACCAGCAGCTAGTTACCCCCACCGCCCAGCCACCTCGCCGGAACTCGCAGCAGCTTCCCCACCCCTCGTTGGAATTCGCCGCAGCTTCCCCACTCCTCGCCGGAACTCGTCGCATCTCCATCTCTCCTCACCGGAACCCACTTTTCACGATCTCCTCCTTTTCACGGCGGCGTTTTTGCACTTCGACCCATTTTCTCTGTCTTCTCCCCCGATTCTCACGGCGGAATTCTTTGACTAGACCAGGAAAATTGAACCTCAAGATCTGCATTCTCTTTCTTCGACTAGACCCAGAAACCGAACCTCAAGACAAAGCAAGGTTGAGTTTTCTCGAAACCTTAGTGGCTAGGAGAAGGGACGATCGGCGATTTTAAGGAGAGGAGATCGTTTTCTAGGGTTTTGCGTGGGTGGGGGAAAGTTTTGCGTGGCGGCGAGGGGTGGGGGAGGTTCGACGACGGGTGGCGAGGGGTGGGGGAGGTCGTGGCTAGGCAGTGGAGTGGCTTAAGAAGTTGGAAAGATGGGTTGTGGGGTGGTGGTGGTGGTGATTCCCTTTGTTTTTGTAAACCAAACAACATACTATATAGAAAGGGTTTCATTTCATTCTCTTTGTTCACTCCATTCTGTTTACCCTATGTAAACCAAACGACCCCTTAGTATTTTACACTACACAAAATCTAATATTTGATTGTTACTAAGGAGTAAGGCCTAAATCCCTTCAAAAAAAAAAGGACTAAGGCCTAAAGGGATTTCATGAACTATTGGGCCCATAGGGCAGCTGTCTTTGTAGTGGATACTTAATTGGGCCTGTTTGACTGTCAAGCCAGACCCAATTTTGTAATTAGTATACACTACACCCTAGTGTAGGTACCATAACCTACACCCCCTACAAAACGCAGCGTTTGCGTTTTTCCCCTACCCCCACAAACTACAGTAACTACCCCCACTCACTCCCACTAACCACAGTAAATTAGAAATAACTTCCCCTACCCCACATATATATTATTAAAAAAAAAAAAACTATCCATTTCAAATTATTCTCTCTCTAAAAACCATCTTCTTCATTTCTCTAGAATTTCTCTCTCATCAACACCGTCGAATCGGAACGAAATTCTCTTCAAATTATTGCAAAATTGCTTCAAAACACTTCATAATTGCTTCAAATGTCTGATATTCGAGATGAAATTAAACAATCACAAAAAAAAGAGTAAGTAATTTCGTTAGTTTTGTTCATTTTTTGAGATTGTAGTGCAATTTTATGTGTGAAACCTTAATTTTGTTCATTTTGTTGCGATTGTAGTGCGATTTTGCAAAAAACCACTACAGAGAAGAACATGAAAGAAGAAACTGCAAAATCGGAGCAAAATGTATCTAAAGAGTAAGTAATTTTGTTCATTTTTTTTTCGATGACAATTATAGTGCGATTTTATGTGTGAAACCTAATTTTTGTTCAATTTTTTGCAATTGTAGTATGATTTTGGAGAAGAATACTTCAGAGACGAGTAATTTGTTGAAAATTTCTGAAGAAATGTATGAACTCTAACTTTTGTAAAACCTAATTTGTTCATATTCTTGCGATGAAAATTATAGAGCGAATTTATTTGTAAAACCTAATTTTTGTTAAAAATTTTTGCGATTGTAGTAATTGTTCTAAGATTTTACTGAAAATAACTAAAACATTAACAATTTATTAAATAAAACAGAGACGATGATGATGATGTACCTCTTCAGTCAAGAGTAGACAAATTGAAAAAAAACCGCCAAAATGATCCAATTGTAGATCCGGAACTTTTAAAAGATATTGACAAGTCAATTGGTACGGATTTAACAATGTCTCCACTACCAAGGTAATTAGTCATTTACAGAATATATTATGTTCATGTCTAATATGCTAGTTGTATTTGATAAAATTGGTTTTATCTTTGTTTAATATGTTATTTGTATATGATCATATTTGATACTCATAATGTTCATTTATAGATATAGTTATGATCATATATTTATATTTGTTCATATGAGTATTTATTGAGATTTAAAAACAAAAGTACATTTCATTGAAACATCATTGTATATGATCATATTTGATACTCATAATGTTCATTTATAGATATAATTATGATCATATATGTATATTTGTTCATTTGAGTATTCATTGAGATTTAAATAACAAATATACATTTCATTAAATCATCATGCACATATATAAATATGATAATAATCATTTCAGTGATATGCATTCAAACTAATGTCATGTAATTAATTTATAATGTAGTGATGTGCCATTTAGAGTGATACACTTGCTTCAATTTAGAGATGGGAAATCTGAACCATTAACTCTAAAGAAGGTTATAGAACAAAATGAATATGGTAATAGTTATGAAAGATACACTTTAAACAAGTAAGTTTATATGTATAAAATAATTGTTTTTACATTCAATTATTGTACATTGTATATATATACCAAACTTATTAGGTAATTCTTAAAATTTTAGTGAAAAAAAAAAGGTTCGAGTGAAATTTGTTATGTCAAAATCAAGACCACCAGAGACAAATCAAACAATAAGGTATAAAAGCTTTATACAAAATAACTAATTATCTTCTTCATTGTATAAATTAGTTCATACTTTAATATCATATTATATAAAATAATTCTGTTTTTTTTAAGTGAACAAAGTGAGAACATTCCTGCTACTAATGCAACAACTAAGAGTGTGTCTGCTACACATAACACAACTGACAAAGAGAGTAGGGATGAAAGGTATACTAATGATCAATTTTATATAAATAAATGTTCATTTTTATAACAGTATATTTTATGTACAATTTATGTGCATTTTTTATTTAAAGTATTTCTTAATATTGATTTCAGCAAGCAAGAAGAAGTTCAACCAAAAGTGCAAAGCAATCCAGTAAAGAATAGTCTTGGCCAAAAGTAAGAAAACTTAAATGTTCAATTTAGATAGACTATATGTTCATTTGAAAATCAGTACAAAAAAGTTTGCTCATGACCAATAGTAATATAAGTTATATGTTCATTTTTTTATTTACTAATCAAAATTGTAAATTCAAACATATTTTTAATGAAATATCAGAAAACCCAAAGATGATTCAAGAATAACAACATTAAAGGACAAGATGCAAGAAATACATTTAAACATAGAGAGAAACCCAAAGTATGTTTAAATTTAAATAATTGAATTAATTTAATCAATTAATGAATATATTTCAAAGTTAATATCATACATTTACAGAAAGTACAAAGAATCGACAATCAGAATTATGAGAAATCTCAAAAGAATGGAAAAGGCAAGCAAGGAAATCAGGAAAGGTAAATGATCATATTTATTGAATATTTTTGTTTAATAGTCATAAATATCAATTTTAACAATACTATTACTTTTGAAGGTGAAGCAAAAAAGAAAGAAAAAGGGCCAATAGAAGAGAAAACTGTGGAAAAAGGTAAAAATTTTAAAATGTACATTTTTATTACAAAAAATGTTCATATTGGAAAAGCATAATATTAAATATTCAATAAGGTTAAAAAAATTAAATTTTAACTAAATAAATTTTAATAGAAGGACAAGAAGGAAAAAAAGGGAGTGAAAAAGAGAAAAGCCCTAAAGACAAAACTGTGGAAGATGTCTTTCCAAAGACAACAAATGTAGAAGGTAAAAATTTATAAATGTACATTTTTATTACATAAAATGTTCATATTGGATCTACATAATATTGAATGTTCAATAAGATTAAAAAAAATATATAAATATTAACTAATTAAATTTTCATAGAAGGACAAGAGGGAAAAAAAGAGCCTGAAAAGGAGAAAATCCCTAAAGAGAAAACAGTGGAAGATGAGTCTACAAAGACAACAGATCCGAAAGGTAAATAGTGGAAAATGTACATATTCATTACCTGAAATGTTCATTTATATTGTATATAGTAAACATTTGTCATCCAATTTAATAAATGTTTATTTAATCTTTTATATTTGATCATTTCATATGCAGCACAAATTGCACCTGATTTTGTTCAAATTGAGGATGAAACTTATCTTCTAGATCAAGATGATGATAAAGTTTCCACAAAACTTAGTGAGGAGACAGCTCCATCATCACAAAAAAGTGATCAGTCAACCAAAATGAAAACAAGATACAAAATGGTTGCAAGGAAAAACAAAAACAAAAGCCTTGTTGTTGTGCCAAGTGGTAGAATTACAAGGAGCCAAGGTAATCATAATACTTTTCTGTTACACAATAAATATTACACTTTCAAATATACTAACATAAATTTTTTTTAAAAACAATAGATGTTCTGTTAGATGAATCTGAAAAGGGAAGCCTGAAGAAGGATGTTGAACCTGCTAAAGAAACCGCAAAAATAGGACAGAAGAGAAGAATGTCTACAAGGAATTTTCCTATTCAAAAGGAAGCTGATGCACCACCTCCAGCACCTACTCCAATAAAAAAAATGGCAGGTGCTCCTGCTGAATATCCTCCAGACCAAGGCAAAAAGGGTAAATGTTCAATCTTAATGTATAGAATGATCATTTATGATGGTATATCATTAATGTTCAATTTCAATATATAGGTGGGAAAAAGAAAACTCTAGAAGAAGTGAAGAAAACTTCTAAGGTTGCTGGCAAAAGAAAAGCAGGTATATAATGATATATTATAAATGTTCAATTTCTATATATAGAATGATCATTTGAGAAAACAATTTTGTTCATTTTATCATTTGCTTACTGTACATTTTCAATACTTAAACAAAATTATATATATTTAATTTTCAGATGTCAGTCCTGCCAAGAGAAATGCTGGAAAGAGAAAAAAAATACAAGAAGTACCATCAGATGAACCCTCTCAAGATCCTACTGATGAAAGTTCTACTGACAGTGATGATGATAGTGAAGAGTCAGTTTATAGAGCAGAAGAAGAGCCTGTCAGTGAGGATGATTATGAGGTGGAGGAAGAGGAGGAAGAGGATGAAGTAAAGCCAAGGAAGAAACAGGCAAAGAAAGGGAATTCAGTGAAGGCAAAGGTTGAAAAGGAGGAGCAAAAGATGGTACTGTATGATGAAGGAAAGATTGAAGGTAGGAGAAAAAAGAAAATGAAAACTGAAATGGTTCAAGCAATAGAAACTGATGAAGTTGAGGAAATTCAGGAAGATGAATTTGAGGAAGAGAAATCTTCAAAGAGAGGAGGACATGTGAAGTTCATTGCATGGATAAAAAAGATGACACCTACCCAAAAACAACAAGTTGTTGATATAGGGTTAGGATCACTTCTTGACATTAGTTTACCTCAACTTGATCAAAAGTTCTGTAACTGGTTATTGGGAAGTTTTGAAGAAAATAGCCAGTGTTTTGAACTACCAAAGAATGAAAAAATAGAAATTGAGGTAGAGGATGTTAGGGTAGTTTATGGCTTGCCTACAGGAGAAATTCCAATTGTTGAGCCAAAGTCTGATAAAATTAGTGAGGAGTATGCAGAATTTCTGAAGAAATGGAGAAAATCATGGTCAGGAAAAACTCCATCAGTGAGTCAGGTATGATCAGTTTTAAATGTTCATTTTAAATACATTAAATGATCAAAAGTATAAATGTTTTGTTCATTTTGTTTGCAGATTGTGAATGGATACATAAATGATAAATTCACCAACAACAGACCACCAAGTGAACATTTCATTACTAACTTTTTAGCAGTGGCTGTGAACTGCTTGATGAAATGTGTATCAAACAATCAATGCCATTTCAAATTTCTTTATTCTATGATGGACAAAGAAAACATAAAAAATTTGAACTGGTGTCAGTTTGTATATGACTCACTTATCAAATGTCATGTTGATTGGAGAAAGCAGCAAGGCAAGGGGTTCTACAAAGGCCCTCTTCAATTTCTGATGGTATATTCTTAGATACAAAATGTTCATTTAAATTTAAATAAATGCACTTTTTTTTATTGTTTATGTTCTGTTCCATGTTTTCTTTTTTCTTGTAGTTGTTCTATTTTGATAGAGTTCAGAGGTTAGACAAAAGGCCTCCAAGAAAAATTCCTATCATATCTGCATGGAATAGAGACATGGTTCTTGAGAGGTTGAAGATTGAATTAGAATTGGGATTTGGGAGAGGGAAAATTCTACCAAGGATTGCTGCAGAAGTTGAAGAAAGTCCTAAGGTTATAAAATGATCACTTTTGTTAACATAAATGTTCATTTGTATAATCTGAAATGTTCAACTGCATAATTTTTAATATTCATTCATATAGGTTTTTATGGATGATTTTGTTTCCCTGGTAAAAACAACTTGTTCAAACCTGTCAAAGCTTTCTTCAAAATTGGTGAAGGCAAAGGATATCTTCCCTGGAAATGACTTGGTGAAAAAAGTTGATGAAGTTTTAGGAAAGGTGGTAGCTAGGGAACCATCAATTCTAAGCCAAGATGAAGAATTCTTTTGGCAGTGAGGATTTCCTAAATGCACTTGCACAAGCTGAGAAGAATCTGATGCAAGGGTCTGAAAAGCAAACAACTGAGAAGCAAATGACTGGGAAGAAATTAACCAAAAAGGGAAAGGAAAAAGAACAAGAATATGACATCAGAAAAGCTTTCAGCTTGGGGTTGACTCCACCTTCTCCAGCCATTGGTAAATTCTAACTAAAAGAGACTATATATCCTAATTTTTATATGAAAAAATTCTAAATTTGTGGTCTAAATTGTCCTAAACAGAAACAGGGCCCACCTTTTCAACACTTGGTGATATAATTGAACAACCAATAATTTCAACAAATGGTAATATGTTCATATATTTAATAATAATGTACATAAACTTAAGTAGAAATGTTCATTTCTAATTATTATGTGTAAATACTATTAACTTAGTGTATCTCCAAAATGATGATTTATAATACAGCTGAAGAAAAGGATGTGGGTAAAACTTCAGCAGCTTCAGAACAAAGAATTGAAGAATTTTCTAGAACTGGTATAATGTTCAATTAAAAAGTGTAAAATGTTCATTTACAAACAAGAAATATTCATTATTAATTGTATTTTTTTGTTAGACGCAGCAACTGGTTCAAAATTTGATGCTGACACTAGGTCAGATAATGAAGGATTGCCTAGAACAGGTATAATGTTCAATTATAAATACTCAAATGTTCATTTACAAAGAAATTATATTATATCTAATTAAATTTTTTCTTAGATGCAGGATCTGGTTCAGTGGTTGATGCTGACCCTAGGTCAGATGGTGGTGAAAAAAGTGATGATCCAAAAAACACAGTTGAAGGTGGAAAACAAAACAAGGAAGATGTTTTTGAAAAAACAAAAAATGATGAAAAAGTGGAGGGGTAAAATCCTGAAGACATGTCTTACTATTAGGGTTATGTAATGGTGTAGGATAAAAATATCTAGATGGAACAAATTTAACTTATGTTACTATCGTGTTGTAACTTGAAACTGGTGTTTCTCAAACTATTGTATGTGTGAACATTATTTTGTTGAATATGTAATATGAATGTGTGGTTTATGTTAAATCAATAGGTTTTATGTTAAATCAATATCTTTCATTTTATGAATTGAAAATGATTCAGGGTGTTACATAAGAAGCTTTTATTTTATTAATATGTACTGACATTGTTTCACTTTTCAGTGAAAACAAGAAGATTGTTGCTTCATCCTCAAAAGTCACAAAAAGGTACATTATTTATATTAAGTAAATGTTCAAAAATAATAATGAACATTTTCATATACCTAAATGTACATTTGTGTTATGTAATATGACCAGGAATGATGATAAGAAAAAGTCAATTGCAGAAAAGAAGAAAAAAAAACTGAAAAGGAAAAGGTTGAAAGGTATAATTTCAAATTTATTTATATACACTCAAATGTTCATTTATGTTCCTCATAATTTTCTTAATTTAACAATATTTTATATTGAACAACAAGACCAAAACGCGAAAAGAAAACAATTCCTCCTGCTTTCCGATCTCCTTACTTGGTCAAGTACAAGGATCTGTTTAAAGATGAGAAAGCCATGAACCAAATTGCAGTAGACTTTGCTCTTGGTGGAAAAGATGAAAGGTAATTACTTACACTAATTAAACTTAAGGTTTAATATCTTTTATAAAAATATGTTCACATTCATATTATTAAATGTTCATAATGCAGTGCACTCTTATACTATGATGGCTTGAATCTCATCAATAGAAATGAAATGAAAACTCTTGGAGATGATGTTGAAGTGACAAATTGTGTCATAGATGGATGGGCA